GGGACAGAGGCAGGAGGAAGCCCCTGGCTGTTGAATCTTGCCCAGGATTATCTGAAAGGCAGAGTGAGTGGTTTTCCCAGACAGGGCTTCTCTGTGTAGCCTTCACTGTCCTAGAATTCGCTCTGTAGACCAGTCTGGCCTTGTATTCACTGAGATCTGCCTGCCTCTGTCTCTGGAATTGGGACTGAATGTGTGCGCCACCACAGCCGGGCTTAATGTTTACCACTATTGCACATGCTTTTGTGTGTACTAGTATGGTATTGGTCTTATGCTCAGGGGACAAATGGGAATGCCTTCTATTCTTTGCTGTAAGAGCATATTTGCATTTCGCTCTGCAGACAAGAATTTACTTGTGCACACTGAGAAGCTCAGCAGGTACACACTGCCAACAATCTGCTTGCTCTGAGTCAACCTTCATTCTAGATGTCAGCAGCATCTTTGGGAGAGATATGAGCCTCAGTGGTCTTGGTGTGTGCACATTCTGCCCTGCTGTCCACAGAAAGACAATGGTTTACCACTGTAGTAGGCAGGGTGAATCTGGGAGAGCAGGGCCTGAAAATGAGAAGCCCACTATATTCAGAGCATCATACAATTTATACTCTAAGGGTTAAGAAGAGTCACCTGAGTGAAGGATATAATCACAAGAACAGGTTAAGAGCACTGGCTGCTCTTCCAGAGGTCCTGAGTTCAATTCCCAGCAACCACATGGTGGCTCCAACCATCTATAAGATCTAGTGTTCTCTATAACACTGTATGCATAATAAATAAATCTTTAATCACATGAACAAACTGCACATGGCAAAAACATGTTTTTCATAGAGGTACAGCTGAAGCAAACTCACTCTATCTGCTACACCTGGGAGGAACACGGAAACACGTTCCAAGAACAATTCTGTGTTTTGAAGAAACTGAGGTCACAAGGCTCAGAATTCCCCTCACATGACTCCATTCTTGGGCCGTGTTCCGACAACTATAATGAAGGAAAGGCAGAACCACAGAGACGACGTCAACCTCCTGGCCAGAGGGACAAGATGCAACTTTGAGTTGCATCTGGTTCTCTAGGGAAAGGCTTGGGGAAGGCAGTTTCCACCGACTGCCTGGATCACCAGCTCTCTGAATAAAGTGCAACTGAAAGGCTCAATTCTTGGTTTGTGTTGTCACAGATGGCACAGACTGAATTCTGGTTGCATTATAAGGACCGTTTGCATAAAGAAGGCAAAGGAATCTGGCTTTTACATGTCAGGTGGAATTAAGAATTTAAACTTCATCAGTGAGATTTTACATTCTTTTTAAAAAACTTTTTGATTGTGGTGTGTGTGTGTGTGTGTGTGTGTGTGTGTGTGTGTGTGTACATATGTGTTCTGTTGCCTGCAGAGACTAAAGGCTCTCCTGGAGCTAGAGCAACATGCGGTTTTGAGGGGCTGATGCTGTTTGTTGAAGCTAGTATTTAAAGAGACTGGATGTCACTGCCATCTTAGGAAAATAGCATCCAAATGACAGCAAGAGACACTTCATTTTACACATGAGCAAAAAACAGCCATATCAGAAACATCCACCTGACTTCAAGCTGCGGCTCAGAGCCATGGTAAGAGACAAAACCAAACAGCATGATACTGACAGAAAAACAGACATGTAGACCAATGGAAACCAGATGCTAGCCCACAGCAATACAGCTGTTTGAGTCTCTACAAAGGTGCCTGAAACACACAGGTTAGAAAGAGGCAGCAAGTGTGCTGGGAAAAGTGAAGACACACAAGACTAAGATGACATTCCATGATCCATTCTATAAAAAAAGCATCTCAAAATGGAGCACACATTAGTGGAAGACCGGAACTGTGGGAAGGCTTCAGTGGAGAGGAATAGGCAATGATATTCTGTATAGGATTTGAAGATCTCAGGAAAGAGCAGTAAGAATCACCCAACAAGATTGTGTAAAACTTACTCTTTTTTTGCTTGTTTGTTTTTTTGAGACTGGTTTTTCTGTAGCCTTAGAGTCTGTCCTGGAACTCATTCAGTAGACCAGAATGGCCTCGAACTCACAGAGATCAGCTTGACTCTGCCTTCCCCATGCTGGGATTAAAGGCCTGTGCCACCACTGTCCTGCATGTACAAAATTTAAAAGTGATTGGCAGCTTGAAGATGTACAGAATGGGGGAAATATTTTCCAGATATGCAACAGAGGATTGAGACACAGCACATATAAATAACTCAAAAATTTAAATGCCCAAAGAACAAACATTCCAATAAATACATGCACAAATCAAGTAGAAACTTTTCAGAAAAGGATGTAGAAACTGCCAGTGAATAGAAGAAGAAATGTCCACTATTCTCAGCCACCAGGGAAATGCAAAGCAGAGTTACATTGAAAGTCCATTTGTCTCCATTCAGAATGGCTAGCACCAATAAAGCCAAGTAACAACTATAAAAGTTGTTGGCGAGGAAGTAGAAAAAATATCCCTTCCACATACTTGGGGGAATGTAATTCTGTGCAAATTAGTATGGAATATCCCTATATATTTCATTATTATATGCTATATAATAATAACCACAGCTGAAGTTATGGTTTATTGGTTATGAACACTGACTGCTCTTGCAGAGGACCCAGTTTCAATTCCCAGCACCTACAAGGTGGCTCACAGCCAGTCCCAAGGGACCTAATGCCCTTTTATTCCCTCTGTGGGCACTGCATACACATGCTGTACAAACACACATATAGGCAAAGTACCAATACTCATATAACTAAGTTAACAATAAATAAATAGATAAATCTAGAACTGTCGGCAGATACAGCTGTGCCTCTTCAGGGTATGTACTAAAAAGAATAAAAGCTGACAATACAGATACTTGTTTGGATCTGTCTGCAGCAGCACCAATCATAGGACTCAAACTACAGAACTGACCCAGGCACCTATCAACAGATTAATTGGTAACAAAATATTATGTATGTGCACCATATAAGTTTATTTTTCCAGAAAGAAAAATGAAAAAATGGTGATATATTTTTTTCAGAAAAAATAGACTGAGACCATTATGTTAAGTGAAATAAACTACATCACAAAGATATGTATTACAAGTTATTTCAAGTGTGAAATTTAGGTGTGTGTGTGTGTGTGTGTGTGTGTGTGTATGTGACAGTAAAGTAACAGAGGACTATTAAGGATGTAGATGGGGGAAAGGATGAGGAGGAGGTATGAAGAAGTCAATACAGGGGTGGATACTGTCAGAATTTTAAAGTATGGGTGTATGATCATGTCATGTTGTACCTCACTTATTTGTGCAAATATAGATAAAATTCAAATATATGCTAACTTGACTATCTAAATTCCACCACATCAACAATTGATGGGAGATGTCATTCTGTAAATATGTTTCTCTTATTGGTTAATGAATAAAGCCCTGTTGGCCAATAGGAAAGCAAGAGAGTAGGGACTAGGAGGAGAGAAGGAGGGTTCTGAGAGATGTAGTGGAGGAGATGTAGTGAAGATGCCACCACGCACAATTATAGACTTAAAATTACTTTAAATAAACATTTCTAGAGGGATGCTGAGCTAAAGAGTGGCTCTAACAAATCGAGAGATGACTTAACAGGAAGGTAACACTGTGCCCTCTAAAAATAAGGGATCCACTGACAACATTCTAGAAGATGGGGCTGGAGAGATGGCACTGAAGTTAAGATCACATACTGCTCTTCCAGTGGAACCGAGTTCAGTTCCCACCCCCCACATCGGGTGTTCACAACCAATTGTGACTCCAGCTCACGGAAATCTGATTCCACCTGCACTCATGTGCACATCCCCACACATGTACACACAATTAACAAAGTTAAATTAAAAACATTTATGATGCCATGAAAATGTTTGCATTAGGAATTTTTATTCCTTTATTTTAATTTTTATGTGTATGGGTGTTTTGTCTGCATGTATGGCCCTGTACTATGTGCATGCAGTATCCTGGGATGCCTGAAGAGCGCATTGAATCCCGTGGGGCTGTAGCTATGGTTATGAGCTGCTCTGTGGATGCTGGGATTTGAACCCCAGCACTCTGGAAGAGCAGCAAACCCTCTTAACCACAGAGCCATCTCTCCAACCTAATACTTGTACTTTAAAGAGTAAAATTATGTGGATGATCGGAATAATAATCTGTTTAACTACAAATAAACACTCATTAATTATTGTGCTCTTAAGTGTATTTAATTAAAAACAAAACTGAAAACCAATCTAGAAGTAACTTGTGTTTTGTAAATTGGCTTAGGACTTAAAAAACCCTTCCTTGAAGTGATTTAAAAGTTTTGCTTTTACTATCTGCACAATTTACTTGAAACCTGGGCTAAAGTATTTAACACTGAAGGCAGTCTCTGGGGGAGGGGGAATAAGCGGATTTTGTGATCAGAGGCAGTGAGAGTCATTTCTGAGTCCGTTATTGTGACATGACCAAGCCATCCAGGGTGGGGCCTGTTCTTTCTGAGGTCACACACCCTTCACACTGATCATGCAGTCATATTGTTGATTTTATGAGTCTTTTTTCCCTTCATTTGTGTATTTCTTTCCTGGGTCATTAAGTATGTCTTTATACAACCTGGAAAACCTGTCAATGACAGTTTGTCAACAGGGATCCCAATCCAAGAAAGTGAGCCCCATGTCAGAACATGCCAGGGGAAGTTTGCCATTACCCCTTCTCCATTACCGTTCCAATGTAATACTCCCCAAATAGTTACACATGTTGAGATTTCTATTTAATAAAATGGCATGAAGTAGTTTAATAAGAATATAAATGCCTTATTTAGAAAGCTTTAGAATACTAATCCAAAAGACTAATGAACACGTTAGCTACATGAGAGCATTAGGGGGCAAAGGGCCACAGAAATCCAAAGTGAAAAGGGGAAGAAGCAAGAGCCTCCCTGAATGGCAGTTCAAGAGCACGTCCATTTTCAAATTCCGAGTCTGTTGGGAGGTCTGTTCCCTGGTATCCATATTCCTGCAGCAGAGACACAACGAGCTCTGCTATTTCCTAGGACTCTGTTTGGCTTGCTCGCTCAGCTCCGCTCTCAATGGCGGCATCATGCTGCTCTCTTCTGCATAGCAGTGCTCGGGTTTTAGCACTCCTCCTTCATGGAGACTTTGCTGAGCTTCCCTCATGGCTAGCTGGGATTCCAAGTTTTTAATTCGGAGTTCCATCTGGTCTAACGTTACAAATTCATTAGTGTCTCTTAAGTCCTCAGTGTTGTTTTGGTCTCTTGCTTGGGTCTAAAGCAAAAAGTACAAAATTCCAAAATAATTAATCTTAACTGTTACTTTACTCCTGTTCCCTTTACTCACAGGCAGTTTAAATATGTTAAATAAGATGTTGGGATTTAAAATTTTTGTTACTAATGTCAACTGTATCACATTTAAAACATAAAGGCAGGCATGGTGGATCTCTGGATCTGAGGTCAGGATGGTTCAATAATACACCCATCCCAAAAGAAACAAAGCAAACCAAAACCTAATAAAATTTAAAAAAAGAGTATACTCTTTTCCTTTGAATGGTGCTAGGGTTGAGCCCTGGGCCCTGTGTTTGTTAATTCTGCACATCCTAGCCCCAATGTAGTTTCACAAGTCACCGAACAAAAGAATCAGCTCAAAATATTGTAAAGATGTAACTGTGACTGGAAGAAATATTTAACAGAATGTTTTAACTTTTATATAGAAACTTTTCTTCTCAGTTGTCTTAAAATGCAATAATTTTTCTGTCAATTTGATATTAACTTAGACATATCTAGGAAGAAGGAACCTCCCTTGAGGCATTACCTCCATCCGATTGGTCTGTGGGCAAGCTTATATGGCACTTCCTTGATTAGCGATTGACGTGGGCAATGGAGTTCCAGCCAGTAAGCGGTGTTCCTCCACTTTCTGAGTCATCAGTTCCTGCTCTGACTTCTCTCAGTGTGGGTCTATGAGCAGGACGTGTAAGCCATTATAAACACTTTCCTCCTGCCTTAGGGTTGCTATTGCTGAGATGAAACACCAGGACCAAAAGCAAGTTGTGGAGGAAAGGGTTTATGTGGTTTACACTTCCATGGAAGGAAGTGAGGGCAGGGACTCAAGCAGAGCCAGAACCTGGAGGCAGGAGGTGATGCAGAGGTCATGGAGGGGTGGGGCTTACTGGCTTGGTACTCATGGCTTGCTCACCCTTTTTTTTTTTTTTTTTTTTTTCTCTGTGTAGCTCTGGCTATCCTGGAACGTGCTCTGTAGACCAGGCTGGCCTCTAACTCACAGAGAACCGCCTGCCTCTGCCTCCCAAGTGCTGGGATTAAAGGTGTGCACCACACAGTTTAGCTGGAGGCATTTTCTTAGTTGAGGTTCCCTCTTCTTAGATCACTTTAGTTTACATCAAGTTGACATAAAAGTAGCCAGTACACCTTTCCTGGTTGTTTTTAGTCAGTGTTTTTTTGTTTTTGTTTTTAACAGCAACAGAAACCAGTGACATACACTGGAAACTTTAAAGACAGATGTATGCCATTCGGAAATCTACAAAGTCAATTGCTATGGGAAGAGGAGGAAATGCAAGGGTTAGAATCCACATTCCCGCTGTGCTGAAATGAATTCAAGCTTGTTGCAGAGTAATTAAAAAGAAAAAGGCATTCTGCAAGCTGCCTGCTGTCCCCAGGCCCTGTGTGGGCTCCAAGGCTCTCAAGCCACCTACCGCACACTCTCGCATCTGGTTTCTGCAGGGAAGAACTTCCTCTGAGTGTGTATGGTCCTTGAGTAGGTGTCCACGCTTCTTGTGTTCTGTTTTTATCACTATCAGCTCTTGCTCCATAAACTGAAGTTTGACAACCATGTGTAGATATTTGTAATATGTAGTTTCCAAATCTTCTTTCAGCTTATATAACTGTATGAATAAAAAAAATATGGTTTCATGCTGAAGGATATAAACCGAGACTAGGCCAATAGATAGGTGATGCCAGTTCAGTTGTAATAAGTTAAGGTTACACTCTGTAGCAGACTATTAGAATGTACTCCATCGGATTATCTAGAAAATAAGCAAAATTAAACCCAGCAGGAGTGACAAAAATAGGCTCTTTACACACATCTTCGTCACTTACAGCTGAACCACAGCTGTCATTTTCCATGTCTAGTTTATTCTTTCATTAATAATATGGTAAGTCACATACCAATGGAAGTCTCTGGCCCTTTCCTCCAGAATACGCAATGCCTCTAATTTCTTTCCTTTTCTTTCTTTTTATGTTTTTTTTCCCTTCCCTTCCCTTCCCTTCCCTTCCCTTCCCTTCCCTTCCCTTCCCTTCCCTTCCTTCCTTCCTTTCTTTCTTTCTTTCTTTCTGAAACAGTGTTTGTTTGTGTCGCCCCAACTGCTCTGGAACCCACTCTGCAGCCCTAGCTGAACTCAGATCCACCTGTCTCTGCCTCATGAGTGCTGGGATTAAACACATGCACCACCACCTGGCTAGCAACATAATTTTTTTTTTTTAAACAAAAATGTTATGATCTAGAGCACTGCCTATAAACTTTGGACTCATTCCATAAAATACAGGAGTGCATTAAACAACAGTAGTGACAAAATTTAGTTGGCTGAATTGGGATGACTTACTTCCCTTTGGTTATTATGATATTCTATGGTGGTGAATTCAAATATGGCTCCCTTCTCCCATGAGACCCATCTCCTGAGTGTGAGCTTGTTTTGATAACTAGTTTCTAGTATGGGGTTTTTGCTTTGTTTAGTTAAGACAGGGTCTCACTATGTATCCTTCACTAACCTGGAACTCTCTCTGTAGACCTGTCTGGGTTCAAAATTATAGAGATCCTCTTGCTCCCCAAGAACTGGGGTTAAGACTTAGTCTGATTCAGCTTTCAGCTTTCACATGGATTTCTCTAGGGGAACAATGCTTAGTAAGTTATTACTATGATCACAATTTCATTGCTGTGTTCCCTGGTTTAGGAGCAACACTCTGGCCATGAATTTCTTCTAATGGGCTGGCCTATTACTGGCCTGTGAATCTTGGGCTGGGCTGTGGCTCCAGTGGTTTAGGTGCAAGAGGTGAATGTAAGGAACTGTGGTGTTCAAGAATGAAGTCTGTGCTGTGAACAGGATCAACTTTGGTTCTAGCGCAAAGTTAGATACCAGGTGTTGTACCCACTTCCTCTAAGCTGAAGCACCCTTGTTGGAGGGAGAAAGAGGCTCCCAGGGCCGTGGAGGCCATGGAAACCCACTGGCTCAGGAAACTCACTGAGGTAACCGGTGGGCAAGGCCTTTCCCAGAGTTTTGAAAGCAGTGTTGTTGGGGAGAGGGTGCCCTCTGCAGAGCTGCCGTAAATCTGTGAGGAGAACTGGGGTGCAGCTCCCGTGAGAGGGGCCAGTGGGGTGACACAGCTGTGGGCCAGTCACCATGCTCTTGGCAGTTACCACAGCAAACTCATTAGGCTTGGGTGGATTCATTTCTTTTTCTTTTTTGTTTTTTGAGATAGAGTCTTTCTATTATGTAGCTCTGGCTGTCCAGGAACTCACTATGTACCAGCCTGGCCTCAAACAGAGGACTACCTGCTCCTGCTTCTGCTTTTTGAGCCATGGGATTAAAGGCGTGCACCACCCTGCCCAGCTTTGGATGTGGTGGTGTTTTGTTGCTTTTTTGTTTTGGTCTGTCATCATACTCCATTCCCCCAGACAACTCTCACAACACCACATGAAAAGGGAATCTAACTGCCAACTGTAAGATGACCATTGATCTAATTCCCAACCAGATAAGCTGCTGAAAAGACATGCGAACTAAAATGAAGCGACAAAACTTAAATGCTGTCAGCAGTGAACTGGGTCAACAGATTCTGTGACCGTGATTTGAGGAGATGAGACCAAAGAGGGAAAGACTAGGCAAGAGCTGGAGTGCTTCAGCGGAGACGAGAGAAAGAACCAGCTATTATTGAAGGCCAGATCTTACTATGTTATGGACTCAGCAAGGCATAAAACTGGCCACGTCAACCCTCACTGGATAAAGAGCTTCCCACCCGAGTGGGCCTTCCTGAGAGCAAGGGGACTGCAGGGGAGCTAAGTCCTCCTCAGCTGCATGAAGGCCTGGGCTCCCGACAGAGCCTCAAGCAGGATCAGGCCAGAAAAGTGACAGGTGACACCATACCAACTGGAGCTGCTGATAGCTTGTTGACGGCTCTTCCTTGATTGGCCCCATTTATAACCTTAGTTGCATGCCAGTCAGGGTCCAGGGCCCATAATTTCTGATGTTCTGGGGCTGCAAGAACAGAAGGCTTGAGAGTTCTATAGTAGAGGAAGAGGACTGGCTGGAATAGCAGAACTTCTACTCCCTGCTCCTCTCTTGACTGAAGCCTGCTGGATATACATGGGTCCCTGCTGTTCTGGTCTGTGAACTGCAGGCTTGCTCTGGAAGACCTTGAACTTGGCTGGCACCTACCCCTTTCAGAGCCTTCCAGCTCTGACAACTACAGTCACTTGGTTGACACCCAGAAGCCTGCTGAGGGCTTAGGGCTGGCATACTACCAACCTCTCTCTGTGGGCACCCCTGTAGCCATGGACAGACGGTCTTAGGGCTCTTACTTTCCTATTGATACTGTTATTCCCTCATAGCAAACATGGTGCCCTTATTTTTCCTTTGCTGCCTTTCCAGCAGGGAAGGTGACAAGAACAGGAAGGACAGCCTACTGTTTCTTCTAATGTTCCTTCAAGGAGAAAGTCTGCAACTTGTCAGAAGACAACTGGCAATAAGACACTGGCTTACAGGACCCAAGGCAAACTCCCATGTTTATGAACAGATGAATCTCAACAAAATGCTGCAAAATTATTCTTAAGAGCATTTTTTTTTTCAACAAGAAATGATTCTGGAGCAAGTTGGTATCCACATGTGTGGGTGACTACTAAACAACATAAATAAAATTCACTCAAAACACAACATTGAAGTGTGAAATGAGATGTGCAAATTCTAAGAAAAGGACACGGGATACCTCACCATGACTGGATCAGTACACTTACAGCATAAACAGTTGAGAGTTGACTCCATCAACACAACATGCCAGTGTATCTCAGAGACACGGTACAAAGTGCAAGGACAAGCTGGTTAGAAGAAGAAATTACTGGAATGTTCGAAGAACTCATATCCAAGATATACAAAGGACTACAGATACCAGTGAAGAGTTAATCTGGAACTGGAGAAACAGTCTAGATAGACCTTCTCTGTAGAGGTTCACTAATGGCCAATGGGCCCAAGGAGACACCTGGGCTCCACCTTAGGGGAATGCAGATGGAAACTCCTGTGATCTACCACTTTATGGAAACTTGGCTTTGACAGAAAAAGCCAGTTTGGTGGCTCACACCTTTAATCCCAGTGCTGCAGGAGCAGGGACAGGGGCAGGTGGATTTCTTCAAGTTTGAGGCCAGCTAGGGCTACACAGTGAGACCCTGTCTCAAATAAACAAAAAATAAAAAGATGGAGTGAGTGTTGGCAAGGAAGTGGAGAAGTCTTAGTGCCCTTCAAGACTAGTGGACAGACTGCAAACACTGGACGGACAAGGGACACTGCTGGTGGCTCCTCAGAAGAGCAAGTATTCAGCTATCACATGACCCAGCTAACCAACAGAAATGAAGCCATTTCATGCAGAACTTGGCCTGTACTGCTGGAGCAATGTCAGCAATCAAAATTCAAAGTGGGGACAACCCAGAGGTCCATCAATCGGTGAGCATATACCAAAGTGTACGATTTACCTGTATGATGGGACACTAATCAGCAATGAGAAGAAATGAAGTATGTATAGGTATTTGAACAGGCTGAGCAATAAAGTATGTCCAATAAAAGGAGCCAGACACAAAGGCAGCTAGAATGCAGACTATGTGTCTCTCCCTGAAACCGTCCAGATAGATGAACGTGATAGCAGTTAAACACACACTGGGTTAAGTTAAGGGTGACAGAGCAATTGCTAAGAGGTTTAGAACATATTTGGATGATAAAGATACTAAAAAGTTGAGATGATATTTGTGTACCTGTGAATATACACTGTGTAATGTATATTTCAAGTGACTGGCTTTCACAGCCTGTCAACTGTAGCCTGATAATGCTGCTAGCAAATAGAACCAACAAGGCACTTAAGATTTTGACATTGTAATTGGTGCACTGTTGTTAAGTCATCTACCAGCATGAAGTGGAGCTGGAAAGATGGCTCAGTGATCAAGAGTCCTTGTCACCCTTCCAGGTTTCCACAGGGTGACTCACAACCACCCAGTTCCAGGGGATCCAATGCCCTTTTCTGGCCTCTGAGGGCACTAGTCATGCACATGGCATATAGTCATGCAGGCAAAGCACTCATACATTATAAAATAAATAAATCTAAATAAATAAGATATAAAGAGAATCAGCACAACTCACCTTAATAGAAAAAACATACATCCTCATTGATTTCAAGTCAGTGAAGTTGTTTTTTTGAATCTTTGTTTTACTGGCCAAAGAATTATGTAGCTATATTTACCAAAGTAAGAGATATTGAATCTTACAGATTATTGAAATTACCTCATGCCTTAGTGTACTGATTGGAATATGCATGTCAAATTGGCTAGTTTTTAAATCTTCACGGCCACTAAGCTCTCTGCCTTCAAGATTACTTAACTTCTTTTTTGTCTCCTCAAAGAGCTTCTTAAATCTGAAAATGTACAGGATTGGCATATTTTCAGCATCGATATTTAATAATTTAAGCAGACAATGTATAATATCATAAAAGGAACAAAACTGTAAGTCATGAATTTCTCATTTGTCTCAACTTAAAATGAATTGAAAATATTCTAATGAAATTATAACCTTTAAATAATTCTTTTGTGTGTTTTGCCCACATGTATGAATGTGTATAACAAGCATGTCTCATGTTC